CAAGAGATGCAAAACTGCTCTCTTAGCTGGTCCCTGGGGACTTTTTGTGTGTAGGTAAGCATGGTCACAGTAATAAAAATAAAGAGTAGCAAACAAAATGGTTGTATTAGGATTGAAATTAGAGATTTTTTTCCACATTAGTGTCTAGAAATGGAAGTACAAAAGGGGAATTGGGGCATTTCCTACCTAGAGATCCATGGCTGAAGTCATATCCCTTTCCCCCCACAGGAGGCTATAAAGAAAAAAAGACTGAGGGGGGACCTGATAACTCTTCAGGGTGTAACGGCTGTTATAAAGACGAGTTGGTCAATTGTTCTCCATGTCCACTGAAGGTAGGATAGGAAATACTGGGCTTAATCTGCAGCAAGAGAGATTTGGTTAGCTATTAGGAAAACTTTCTAACTATAAGGATGGTGAGGTTGTGGAATAAGCTGCAAAGGGAGGTTATGGAATCCTCTTCACTGGAGGTTTTAAAGAACAGGTTAGACAAACAGCTGTCAGGGATGGTCTATGTTTACTTGGTCCTGACTCAGTACAGGGGGCTGGACTTGATGACCTCTCATGGTCCCTTCCAGCCCTCCATTTCTATGACTCTATGAAACAGTAACCTGTTGCAAGACCTCAATGGAAAAGGGGAATATTGTCTAAGCATATTATAATGTAGTGTAAGGGCAGAGAGACATTATGACTACACATGTGGGACAGCCCTAGGCCAGACACAGATAAACTTTGCAGTGTGAGAGCATACTCTCCCCCGCAACTCCCAGTGATGCCCGCCTGGTCCCAACAGGAGTGGGCTTCCTGTCAGAATCCAGTCATCCACCACTTACTGCATGAACTTGCTAATTGTTCCTCATTAAATTGTTCCACAGAAAGCCAGGCTGGGGGGACCATCCAGTGTGGAAGGTGTGTGCTGGTGGAATCTCTTAGGAAGCAGGTAGAAGAACTACAGGAGGAGGTGGCTAGGCTGAGGAGCATCCATGAACATTAGAAATTCATTGAGAGTATTCATATGAAGACCTCTAAGGCCGAGGAAGCTATCCAGCTAGAGAGGATTGCTGTCTCACCACCAGGAAAGGAAGATATGGTTCTGTCACAGGGAGGATGCTGGCTGCTGTTTACTTCTGACAGCAGGCAGTGCTCCACCCCTGCTCCCAACCCACCAACCATCATGATAAAGAACAGTTATGCTGCTCTGTCAATGAGCAATGAGGAATTGTCCCTGAAGGTGGAGGAGGAGAAGCCATATACCTCCACGGCTGGGGGGATCGCAGCCACCACTCCCAGAAGGAAACATAGGTTAGTTGTGGTTGGTGACTCTCTTCTGACATCTGTCAGCCTGACATGGCATCCCAAGAGGTATGCTGCCTGCCAGGGGCCCATATCTGAGATGTTGCAGAGGGACTGTTGAGGATCATTCAAGCCTCTAACTACTACCCCAGGCTGCTCATCCATGTGGCACTAATGATACTGTGAGGTGTGAACCTGAGCAGATCAGAAGAGACTAAAGGCTCTGGGAATAAAGGTGAAGGAACTGGGGGCACAGGTGGTATTCTCTTTGATCCTTCCAGTCAAGGGTAAGGGACCAGGCAGAGTCAGATGCATCCTGGAGGTGAATGCCTGGCTGCAAGGATGGTGTTACCTGGAGGGCTTCGGCTTCCTGTACCATGGGATGCCGTTTCAGAAAGAAGGACTGCTCAGCAGAGATGGGGTCCACCTATCAAGGAAGGGGAAGAGCATCTTTGGATATAGACTGGCTAACCTAGTGATCAGGGCTTTGATGTGGGAGAAGAGTCAGAATCTGGGGGAGAGGCATGGGCTGTTATAGCAGGGATAAGGGAGAGACAAGAGAGAATATAGAGTGAAAATCAAGTCAATATCTTAGATGTCTGTATACTAATGTGCGAAGTTTGGGGAATAAGCAGGAAGAACTAGAAATGCTAGTTAATAAACACAACTATGACATAGTTGGCATAACAGAAACTTGGTAGCATACTCACATGACTGCATTATTGGTATAGAAGGGCTCAGCTTGCTCAGGAAGGCCAGGCAGGGGAAAAAGGGAGGAGGTGTACACTCGGAATGAGGTTGAGATGGAAATAGGAGACAGACTCTGTGCCTCAGTTCCCCATGTATAAAGTGCTGATATCGCCTCACCTCGGTTGGGTGTTGTGAAAATAAACCCATTAATGCTTGTAACAAACTACATATTTGCAACCTGAAGCAAATACTCACCAACAACCACATACCACACAACAGAACCACTAACCCAGGAACTTATCCTTGCAACAAAGCCTGTTGCCAACTGTGCCCACATATCTATTCAGGGGACACCATCACAGGGCCTAATAACATCAGCCACACTATCAGAGGCTCGTTCACCTGCACATCCACCAATGTGATATATGCCATCATGTGCCAGCAATGCCCCTCTGCCATTTACATTGGTCAAACTGGACAGTCTCTACGTAAAAGAATAAATGGACACAAATCAGATGTCAAGAATTAGAACATTCATAAACCAGTCGGAGAACACTTCAATCTCTCTGGTCACGCAATCACAGACATGAAGGTCGCTATCTTAAAACGAAAAAACTTCAAATCCAGACTCCAGCGAGAAACTGCTGAATTGGAATTCATTTGCAAATTGGATACTATTAATTTAGGCTTAAATAGAGACTGGGAGTGGCTAAGTCATTATGCAAGGTAGCCTATTTCCCCTTGTTTTTTCCTACCCGCCCCCCAGACGTTCTGGTTAAACTTGGATTTAAACTTGGAGAGTGGTCAGTTTGGATGAGCTATTGCCAGCAGGAGAGTGAGTTTGTGTGTGTGTGTCCCCGGGGAAAAAAAAGGGGGGGGGGGCAGTGAGAAAGCCTGGATTTGTGCTGGACATGGCCCACCTTGATTACCATGCACATTGTAGGGAGAGTGGTCACTTTGGATGAGCTATTACCAGCAGGATAGTGAGTTTGTGTGTGTGTTTTTTGGAGGGGGGTGAGGAGGTGAGAGAACCTGGATTTGTGCAGGAAATGGCCCACCTTGATTATCATGCACATAGTGTAGAGAGTTGTCACTTTGGATGGGCTATTACCAGCAGGAGAGTGAGTTTGTGTGTGTGTGTGTGGGGGGGTGGAGGGTGAGAAAACCTGGATTTGTGCTGGAAATGGCCCAACTTGATGATCACTTTAGATAAGCTATTACCAGCAGGACAGTGGGGTGGGAGGAGGTATTGTTTCATGATCTCTGTGTGTATATAAAGTCTGCTGCAGTTTCCACGGTATGCATCCAATGAAGTGAGCTGTAGCTCACGAAAGCTCATGCTCAAATAAATTGGTTAGTCTCTAAGGTGCCACAAGTACTCCTTTTCTTTTTACATATTACAGTGACAGCACCACAGAAAAATCTATGAGGAAAGTAATTCTGCATTTGTTGTGGGGTTTGGATGGGCAGTAAATAATGCCTGGGGCAACACAAGGAATAATGAGGATAAAAAGAAATACTGAATGACTCCCCAGTCAGTGAGCACCATCTATGGTGTACACTGGATGGGGTAAGGGTCCTGTGTCAAACATAGCATGTGATGGTGCAATTAAAACCTGTACCATGATGCCCAAGGTGGCTGAATGAAGGTTACAAAGGTTTAAATTTAGAATTGCTGCACTGGTGAGTGCTTGACTTTGCAACCTTAACGTCCTTTTTGTATAGGTTTCTGGATGTGATGTTACATGGAGCACACTGTGTCCTGCTGCTTTGGCTGTTTCTGTTAACAGCTCAGGGAGATGAACTCAGGCCTGTTTCTGCACGAGATGCTCTGGTCTGCCCCAGATTTGGGGAGAAGTGAACAAATTCCTGCGAAACGTTTAGATTCTGCATCTTCCAAAGGGAAATGTTCTGTCTGGCATTCCCAGTTCTCACCAGCTCCCCCCTCCAACTCCCTCTCCACACACCAGCTGTTACCACCCCTCCCACAGCTTCCCCTCCATCCCCACCCCACGTGCCAAGCTTTAACTGCCCCCAGTGCCCCCTCCATCCCTGTCTAGGGTGACCAGACATCCTGTTTTTAAAGGGACAGTCCCGTATTTAAGCCCTCCTGCAGATGTCCTGACTTTCTTAAAAACGGGCAAATTGTCCCATATTTTCTGTCTCCCTCTCCCTCTCCCCCCCAAATCAATACTGATGGGTCCTGTGCTGGCCAGATCCCTGCTCACCAGCTACCCACCCACCAGCGGTAAGTCCGGGGGGTCCAGTGGCTGACGATGGGGGTGGGTGTGCACGGCTGGTGACGGGCTGAAGCTGCAGTGCGCAGGGCAGGCCGCTCCTGCTGGTCCGGGAGTGGCGTGGGACCACGACATGCAGGCAGCCTGCCTGAGCCCTGCCGGACTTTCAGCAGCCCAGAGATCGCGATCGACTGGCAGAGGCTCCAGGATCAACCCGTCGATCGTGATCGACGGGTTGGTACCACTGAATTGTATTTAATTATGGATTTATTTTTGTGGGGCCCCCCCTTAGCCCGAGGCCCTGGGCTGCAGCCGCGGAGAGCCCCTGCGCTAATCCGGCCCTGCCCCTCGGGTGCAAATGAGTAAGGGTGGGGGAGAGGAGTGATGGAGGGAGGGGGCGTGGCCTCAGAAAAGGGGCAGGGCAGAGGCGGGGCAAGGGTGTTCAGTTTTCCGCAAATAGAAAGTTGGCAACCCTAGGGCACCAGTCTTTAGCCCCCCTTTCCCCCCACACACTCAGCTCCACTGGACCAAGCCTGGCCCGCCCTGCGCTCTGCTATGGGCATGCGCACGCAATGGCTCCCCAGGGCCTTTGCGGATTCGGCCTCCCAGGAGCAGGGGGCGAGCCAGGCAACAGGGGCCGCCACGCGCCTGTGCCTGAGCTCGGGCAGCACATGTGGCCTCCCACCAGCAGGGGGCGGAATACAGAGTATCCCTTCCGGATAGCGCCTGTGATTGACAACACAAGATAGCGGACGCACTGATCGCGGCTTCCGGCGACGCGCATAGACGGCTCGTCTCCCTGAGCAGTAGGGAGCGTGTGTGGTGACGCCACCCGCGCGCGCCGCTTGCGGGGTGTCCTGTGCTCGCGAAGGTCGCGTTTCCGGCGCTGGGCCGTCTCGGGGCTCGGGATGTCTGGCTACACCCCCGACGAGAAGCTGCGGCTGCAGCAGCTGCGCGTCCTGCGGCGCCGCTGGCTCAAGGACCAGGAGCTGAGTCCGCGCGAGCCCGTCCTGCCCCCGCCGAAACTCGGGCCGGTGGCCAGGTTCTGGGAGCGTTTCCTGCAGCCGGGCTCCTTCTGGCGGCTGCAGGTCAGCGAGGCCCGGCTCCCCTTCCCTAGAGGGGTCCTCCAACCCTGCTCTGCTGAGGGGTTCCCACCCTGGGGCAGCCTTGACCCAGAGGGGTCCCCTAGCCCCCATTCCGACCCTGCTGCGGGGTTCTCCTGTGAATAAATAAGCCCAGAGATAAAATCTGTCAAGCCAGCACTTTTGAATGCTAAATTCAATTAAAAAATTACTAGACATTTAAAAACAAAGCTGGTATTAAAGGTTGAAGTGGGGGCTTATATATAGTAAAAATTAAGGGAAAATAACATGAAATTTCATTTACTTTTGTTTCCAGACTTTCAAGCTGTACAAAGGTGGTGTATTTACTGTAAGATGGATACTTATTCCTGCCTGGGTTATTCACTACTATGTCAAATACCATGTAATGGTAAGTATAGAAACCTGCATGTTGTATTTCGATGCAGAAGGTATATGCTTGACCCTACAAATACCATTTACTTCCCTGCCCTGTAAACACTTCCACTTTTTCTCCTTAAAACCCCCCATACTTCAAAAAACACACCATCTGTGATCTACCATGAAGTCAAAAGTTAAGGGTGACTGCATCTGAGAATTATTTTGCTTTATTTTTGTCTGGGTACACTTTAGTGGTGTTGAAAAGGTTTCACTTGCAGGACTATAAAACTATTCAGTGCTTCTGCTTTTCCACTTCAATAGACAAGTGTCCTTTGTTGGCACACTTGATCTTGAAGTATGCAAAGAAACAAATTTCTGTAATACTTCAGATGAACAAAACTGTTTTCTGTTTCTTGCTGCTTAGTAACTGTTGATAAGGCTTACATTTTTTCTTTAAAAAAACAAAACAACCTACTTCAGTCCATTCAGTTGCTTGTTTCTTGACACAGTTTTCATCTATAGGCCCACTCAGCAATTATATGCACTGGGATTAAGCATTGAACATTCTAATCCCCTGCCTGCAGTATTGATTCTACAGTTAAAATAAGAAAAAACACCTCATGAAATAGGCTTGGATTAAAGAATTTTGGGGCCCTGTATACTTGGGGAAATTGCCCCCCCTCCACCTGCGGTAAATTAGTCAGTAAAGCTCCCCCATCCATACATATCCCACCCCACACAACTCCCTGAATGCTCCTCACATCCCACATACATGCCAGCCACCATCCCCTAGCCTCAACAGACATGCCAGTAGCTCTGACATACATCCCGTTCACTGTAGCCCCACAAGCCACAGCCCACAACATCCCCCACTCAGCTGCAACATTCTGGCTCCCATCAGTTATAACTTGATCTACTCTCTCTGTCAAATATCCAGTGACAGCTGATTTCCCTGAGTACCTGTGCCTCCCTTTAGTCACCAATGACTCCATTCATTGTCTTTCCCTTTTGGCTTTTAGACAGTTCTGTAACGTATGTCCTCTTACGTATAAGGAGAATATCAAGGTTATTCATTTCCCGTTTAACTTTTCTAGAATAGTTAGACTTGATTTTCAGCCTTGGAAAGCTAATATTTTTAGTATCAGAAAACTTGGAAACTCTTATGTAAATATTTCAAAGTGCCCTGTCATAAATATAAAGGGAAGGGTAAACCCCTTTGAAATCCCTCCTGGCCAGGGGAAAGCTCCTCTCACCTGTAAAGGGTTAAGAAGCTAAAGGTAACCTCGCTGGCACCTGACCAAAATGACCAATGAGGAGACAAGATACTTTCAAAAGCTGGGAGGAGGGAGAGGAACAAAGGGTCTGTCTGTGTGCTGCTCTTGCCAGAGACAGAACAGGAATGGAGTCTTAGAACTTTTAGTAAGTAATCTAGCTAGGTATGTGTTAGATTATGATTTCTTTAAATGGCTGAGAAAAGCATTGTGCTGAATAGAATAACTATTTCTGTCTGTGCATCTTTTTTGTAACTTAAGGTTTTGCCTAGAGGGGTTCTCTATGTTTTTGAATCTAATTACCCTGTAAGATATCTACCATCCTGATTTTACAGGGGGGATTTCTTTATTTCTATTTACTTCTATTTTTTATTAAAAGTCTTCTTGTAAAAAACTGACTGCTTTTTCATTGTTCTTAGATCCAAGGGTTTGGGTCTGTGGTCACCTATGCAAATTGGTGAGGCTTTTTATCCAACATTTCCCAGGAAAGGGGGGGTGCAAGTGTTGGGAGGATTGTTCATTGTTCTTAAGATCCAAGGGTCTGGGTCTGTAGTCACCTAGGCAAATTGGTGAGGCTTTTTACCAAACCTTGTCCAGGAAGTGGGGTGCAAGGTTTTGGGAAGTATTTTGGGGGGACAGACGCGTCCAAACAGCTCTTCCCCAGTAACCAGTAATTGTTTGGTGGTGGTAGCGGCCATTCCAAGGATAACGGGTGTAATATTTTGTACCTTGGGGAAGTTTTGACCTAAGCTGGTAAAGATAAGCTTAGGAGGTTTTTCATGCAGGTCCCCACATCTGTACCCTAGAGTTCAGAGTGGGGGAGGAACCTTGACATGCCCATAGAGAATGGAAAAATCCATTAAGTTGCATTTAGTTTATTCTGGGGGAAACCAGGTTTTTCACAGCCCACGTACTGAGAGCTACATGTTGTAATGAATGTTTGCTGAGTAGCCCTCTTATGTTTGGATAATTTTATGTTGCTTCCTCTATATGTTTGGTAAGACAAGGTTAGTTCAAACTGCATAAGCCTTGATGATTAAGAGGTTGTTTTATGTTTTGTTTGTAGCTTACTTGTAACCCTAATCTTGCTCACTCTTGCTTCCTTTACTAGTCACTGACAGAACAAAGCTCACTGCTTTCCTGAAGAAGTAATAACACTATCACTGAGCCACGATTCAGTGAACACTCTTATTAGGCCACCTGTGGCTCTTTACCCTGGGAGAGCCTTTTCATTTATAAAGTATTTTGAAGACTTGTCCTGTTTGAGGTGTTTTTATTCTCTATACTTTTGGTTTTAAACTAAGAGTAACCTAGTGGGGAGAAGTGGGTCTGCTTAATATTAATTGTAATCAATGCTTCACCTTTTTGGCAATATGGAAAACAGCTTTTTCTAATCAGCCATCTTTAAAAAAAGCTTATCCTGACTAATCTGTTTTTTATTGCAGAAAATGCCATATGGTGTTATTACAGTGAAGCCCAAAGTATTCCCAGTAAGTTAATTAAAATAAATATTTTCTTGTAACATGTCAGCCTCATAGATAAAGAAAACAAATGGGAAGGGAGAGGTGGGTGTGTGAGGGCAACAGTGGTACAGGGAATAAAATTAAAATAACTATTCAGTACTTTGGGCACTTGGTACAAAGAAATGTTAAATGCTGACTAAGAAAAACATTGTGATATAGACCTTTAGAAGCATCAATTATTTTCTTCAGAATGGATAATATTCCTTTGAAAACTTGTTTCATCAACCGAGATGATCCAATTAAAAGATATTGCCTCACTCAATTGGCGCTCTCATAAAAATAATAGTACTTTTATGCTCTTGCATATTATATATTTTAGATAGTAATGTGACCCATGACAAAATATTCACCATAATCTTTCTGATTTCATTAGGGTGACAGAATTCTAGAGACAGGAGAAATAATCCCACCAATGGAAGAAGAGCCTACTGGTCATCACTGAAGGTTATAAACTCTATCTTTGTTCCTATAAAAATGTGTTAAATATCTCCAGATATGTATATAAAACAATAAAGTCATTTTCAAGAGACACTCATGTTATCTTATTTCCTTCTAGGTATAGCAGGAATAGAAAACACCATCTCCAGACCTTTCTTTAGGGCAGAGAATAAATGGCTAGTTAAGGAAGTTACTCTCATAGTAACAAACTGTTCATGATTGACTGTATGAAATGGACTCTAGAAGTAGGCTTTCAGTCCAATGTACTAGTAGTAATACAACCTTTTTGTCTTAATAGGCAACAGATTATCTGTATTTTATCCATTGTAGCAACCAATTATGTATCTCTACTCATGTAATTGTATTTAACCAAACAGGAAGACACGGCAAAAAAACATATCAGCTCAGCAGGTAATGCACAAGTGCAGTAAAATTTAGAAAGGATTTTGGAAAGTAACTGTCCTACTTTTAAGTCAGATATTATTGAGAAATAATTTTATTAAGATTATTTTACATAGCCTCTTTGTTTCATTCATTGTGGAAGTCCTACCTGAACTATGAACACTCAAGCAATATTGTTAGGTTTCTGTGTGTATATAAAGTCTGCTGCAGTTTCCACGGTAAACATCTGAAAAAGGGGGGTGTAGCTCACCAAAACTCAAAAAAAAAAAAATTGGTTATTTTTTAAGAAACAAAAACTTTTCTTTTTTCAATATTGTAACATTTATAAACTACAAAATCTTACAGATCATGTTGCAAAAAAGAATTGTATGAAAAGGGTTTGGTAAAACATGATAGCTTTAATTGTATGAATCAACAGCAAAATAAGATGAGTAAACAGAAACGAACTGTGACAAATAGTGATTCGTACTCACATTTCTATGAATACTTGTTCCTGTCAGGAACTAACCCTATTTCAAATACTCAATCCACTTTATTGACTAGCAGTATTCTAGAATTCGTCAGCCACCCTGGACCTGACTATTCCTGAAGGTAAGCACACCATATCACTAGAAGATAGTATGAGTTATGTTACTGTAACGTATGTGACTAGCACTTTACTAGACATAGCCAAGATGCCAGACACATCTGCGGACCTCTAAACACAACTCGGTTGAGGCTGCTACAGTTACACTTGCTTAATCCATCAATGAAAAACTTTACCACAATCAAATTTAATAGGAAAAAGAGTTGCTATGTATAAGTTGTTACTGACAATGGCTGAATAAAACTATTTTGAGGGCCAAATACTACTAATATGAACTGAAGGAAAATGTTGAATCACCCTTAAATAATGTTACTTACTGCCATACTGCTGGACATAAACATGTGTACCATATTTTAAACATTACAAAATCTTTAGCAAAGACATTGTCTGTAAAAGAGAAGACATTCTGCAAACGAACTGAACATACACTTGGTGTACAGTTCTTCCTTGGCTGCTTCTTAGTCTGGTGCTCATTTTCTATATTTGTTAAGAAAACTCAGTGTCACACAACATGCATTGCCTGTATTTCTGTTGATCCTTTTAATTGTGCAGGAAGCTTGATTTTTTTTTTCTTGAAGCCTTCTGCCACTGTTAAACTTTTGTGGTCAGGTCCTAACTTAAACTGGTAATCTGGAAATCTTTTCTGTCCTCAAATTTGGTTTTACATGTGTTCAGGTTTGAAAATCCAGCTGCAGTCAATCTGTAATGTTTCCTTTAAAAATTCAACATTTGATCAGGGTAGTCCTTCTCAAGTTGCCACCGAGCCGCTATTCTTGTTGCATAAATAACATATCCCCATGAAAGTAATACAATGGTGAGAAGAATCTGTTAGAAGAAAATATATAATGTTTGGAAAGGTAGGTATGGCGCATTACCAATAAAAATGTTTACCTGCATTGAATATTGGTCTGATATTTAAACTATTTGTAAAATGGTCATCATTTACCATCCCTGGCCTAAAAGTTTGAGGTGTCCAGCCAGACACTACTGAAATACTGATTATATAGGGTAATGGTGGGGACAGGATTGGTATAGTACCTGCCTGCGTTAGCATGGTCTTTTCTGGCTCTGAGCCCTGGCATTCAGTGCTTCAAAGGAAGGCAGGATCTCTGGCTTCCTAGGCCCTGGAACCGAGGGCTTGATGGAATTAGGTTCAGTGCACGGTGCAGAGGGTAACGGCGCCCCGGGGTTGTCCCGTAGGAGGCGGGCCTCCAAGGGCAGCTGGAAGGGCAGAACCGTCCGTGCGGTACCTGCTCCCCACGCAGGGCTGCGCCCCGTTCCCCCAGCCAGCGGCCAGGGACCGCACGGAGCCGAGAGCGGAGGCTTTGCTGCACTCTCCTAACAGACCGGGCCGGGCTCGCTCCGCGCCGGGGAGGGGGTGGTGCAGGCGCGTCCCCCCCCGCAAGGTGGGGTCGGCCGGCTCCGTGCGCTGGGCCGGGGGGCGGCGCGGGCACCTACCAGCGAGTAAAGCCAGTCCCGGGCGCTGCGGCCCAGCGCCGCCATGGTGCGGGCTGGGAGCGGCGCGTGCGTGGGGCACGGCAAGGGGAGATCACCATGGAGACAGAGCGAGACGGGCGCGCGCTCCGAGCCGCCATCTTTAGTTGGGCCTGGAAGCGCCAACCCTGCGCAAAGCGAGCTGCATGAGCGGGTTGTGAAGCACCTCCGGGCGAAGCCGCCCGCAGCCAAGATGGCGGCCCGGAGCGGTCACGTGGCCGGCGTCCCGCCCACTTGCAGGCTGCGTAGGGGGCGTTGTTGTAAGCCGTGGAGTTCCGACCAAGTCTTTTCCGATCCCAGCAGCCCTTGCGGGGTGTCTGTCTGGCCCGCGGCCCGGCCGTCTCGGTGTGTAGCGGGCGGCTGGTCGCTGGTCGCTCTCCGGGCCCGGCCGCCGGCAGGCGGCTTTCATGGGTGACCCACTGAATTACCTCACAGAGCGGGGGCGCCGCCGCCGCCTTCGTCACGGGGGGGAAGAGCCGCGCGCGGGTCCCGGCCCGGGCCCCGCCCGCTGCCGCCGCCGCCAGAGACTCAAAGCGGCGGACACGGGGCAGCCCCGCGGGGAGGGCGAAGCGCCGGCACCGGACGGCGGCGCCGCTGTGAGTGAGCGGGCCGGGCGGGAGGGAGGCTGGACGCGGGAGCGGGCCGCGCCCTTGCCGGGGGAGGTCCCCCTTCCTTCTGCTCGCGCCGGGGCTGGGCGGGAAATGGCGGAGTCCGGGGTTGGGACTGAGAGCAGCGGGTCCGTGGAGAGTCAGGGCCGGGCGGGCAGGTTTGTGAGGCGGGAGGGCTCCTGGGCAGAGGCGGTGTCGTGCCCAGCCCTGTCGGGAGTCTGTTCTTTAGCCTGGTTCAGGAAATACTCCGCTCCCTCCTCCGCCCCATATGGGTCAGATTTTTTTACCTTCCTGCCAGGTGCAGGTAAAGAGCCAGTAACTGAGTGGTGGGTGCCTTGTGCTTCCGCAGGTGAGTTGTCAGTAGCCCCTCCCCCTAGCTCGTGAGCGCCCCCCCCCCCCCATTCCCTAAACTCTTGCAGGGACGAGAGTTGGGGCAGGAGTTCGGGTCAGCAGGAGCTAGGGAGACTGAGCAGAGAGTACTTTGGCAGCCCTGCCCCGCACTCCTGGCCCAGCTGGATTCTGCCTGATTTGTGGTAGATCTGTGTGTAGAGGGAGAGTGAACTTACAGGCACTTTGCAGCCCCCTGCCATTCAGTGCCTTTCTTAATGTTAGGAGGCTGAGCCAGTATGCCAGATGAGTTGAACTGTTCCCATTAGGGCTATATGGAGAGTTTGACAGTAATGTACAGGGGTAGTTACCAGCTGTCCTCAAGTAGGCTTCCTATGGAGAGCAATAGAGTGCTCATCGCTTTCTGTTTTCAAAACGGGTCAAATAACAGTTCTAAATAGAAACACCAAGCCCAACTGTACATGACCACAGTGAGACTTATCAAGTCAGTTGCCCAGGATTTCATATCTCTCATTCGCTTAAAGCCTGAAAATTTAGCAGGCCACACTCTAGTCCTTAATATAACGATTAATGATATAAATATATATATCAACGAATATAATGATAGTCAAAATAGAAATACTTTGAATTTGAAATTCTCAGGCTGGGAGAGATACTTCAATGTTCAGAAATGAAGTTGGTGCACACAGCTTTGTATACACTTTGATTCTCAGCTTGTCTTGTTAAAAAAAAAGTATCAATTCTTAATGTTTTTATAGTACATCTGTTCACATGTTTGCAACAGCTGAATTGTATACAAATTGCTGCACATAACATATTAAAGTTATGGTCAGAAAACCAACTATTACAGTGGTATCTTCATACTTAACAGTTCTCCCAGGGCTTTGGAGTGGAGCCTGGAGCTGGAGCGGAGCCGGAGCACAGCTCCAAAGCCCTGAGTTCTGCTGCCTTGGTCCTGTAATCATATTTGCTGAATTAGTGACAGACACTACAGTTTACTCTGAGCATTGCTGAGTCTGTACAGCTGTGGATAAATAATCTGGATTATATGTCGTCCCATGTATCAATTGAGTTGTTAACTGAGTTCTTGTCCAGTTATATTACAGGTGTAGCTGGTAGAACCATCTATAATTATGGGTGCCTGATACATCATTTATTTATTTATTTATTTATTTTCCCCGCTTATCACATTGCCAAATGTCAATTATTTGGGCTGAAATAATTTCAGCAAATAATGGTTCAGCTGTTTCTGAGAACAAGATTAGGGAAGACTTATTTTGCCTACATTAATCAAAATCTTTCTGTTTTGTTGAGAAGCTCTAGTGCCTCCATTCTTTGCAATTTGGCAAGGGGATTGCCCTGGTTTTAGGTGTGGACTGTTTCTGGGGAGAGAATGGGAAGGCTCAAATATGGACAAGTTATAAGCCCTTGAAAAATCTCTGTTCACACATGATCAGTAGAGACTTATGAGTTCGGCAACTAAATGCTGAAGATTGTTTGGAATACGCATACTGCAGTCAGGGCCACAGGGGCTGAGTAGGACTTCACTTGCAGTTGCTACTGCTGGCTGTTGCAGCACCAGGCACTGAGAGCTGGGAGACTGTATCTCCTGTGCTGTCAATGCTCCCCCTGCTTGTGTCTAGGAATTTGGAGGAAGAGCAGCTTGACTCAAATGTGATCGGTTTGAAGAACCAGACCTGAGTGGGCAGAGAGGAGTAGGGTTGCCAAGCCCCTCCCGGTTTGGCCAGGAGTCTCCTGGAATTGGGCTCGATCTCCTGGAGACCACTGAAGCCAATCCGGGAGATTTTAGACGGTTAAAAATCTGGCAGTGCAGCTGGGCTAAGGCAGGCTCCCTACCTGCCCTGACTCCGCGCCAGTCCTGGAAGAGGGCAGCATGTTGCTGCTCTTAGGTGGAGGCGTGGCCAAGGGGTCTCCATGTGCTGCCCCCACCCCGAGCACCGACTCTGCGCCTCCCATTGGCTGTGAACGGGGAACCATGGCAAATGGGAGCTGCGGGGGCGGTGCCTTCAGGCAGGGGCAGTGTGCAGAGCTGCCGCCAGACATGCCACTGCTTCCAGGAGCCAACCGAGGTAAGTGCCACCCGCCCGGAGCCCTCACCCTCTCCTGCACCCAAACCCCTGCCCCAGG